TATTTATATCTATCTATCTATCTATCTATCTATCTATCTATCTATCTATCTATCTATCTATCTATCTATCTGCCAGTCTTCATATCTATCTATCTATCTATATACATATATATTGTTGTCGGAGTCCATTCATCTCATTCATCTATCTATCTATATATATATATATATATATATATATATATATATATATATATATAGAGAGAGAGAGAGAGAGAGAGAGTTAGAGGGAGAGAGAGAGAAATATATATACATATATATATATATATATAAAGAGAAAAATATATATATATATATATATATATATATATATATATATATGTGTGCTTATGCTTGCCCAAATGCATGGTATTTCTCCCTTCCTCGTTCCTTTATATTAAACGTGTGGCTGGAGCAACACACGTCCCTCTTATAGACAACCAATCTCACATGCATACATCGCTAAACACTGGCATTTCTTAATAAGACCCTGACAGCTGCCGATCGCCAAATAAATCACAGGCTCGGTTAATATCGATCTAAAGAAAACGAAGAAATATCTTAGCGACCTTAAATGCCTTCACTCTGCTACCTTGATATGTTACTTTCGCTTCAACTTTATCCCCTTCCGTTGCTAACCAATCTTTGCCGTTTTGGTCTTCATCAAAAGAATTTCAATCGTTTCACCAGGTTGTCTTCCTGCCTTTATCTACAACATTTACTTTTCGCCTTTTCCTTTTTCTATTTTTTACAAGATAATTTTCTTTCTTTCTTTTTCCCTTGTTTCTTTCTTTTCCCCTTGTTTTCGTTTTTCATCCATTTTGATTATCATATCTTTCCTTCACACACCATCAATTTTTGTGTTTCTTGAATTTTGTCATTTCTTTCTTTCTTTCTTTCTTTCTTTCTTTCTTTCTTTCTTTCTTTCTACGTGTTTTTCTCCCTTCTTTCTTGCTTATTCCATTTTCTATCCTTTCTAGCAGTCTAGTTTCGTTCTATTTTTTTTATTTTCTTTCCTTCTTTTTTTCGTACTCTTTTCATTCTTTCTCATTGCATCTGATGTTTTGTCACAGTTTTTCTTTTGTCTTTCCCTACTTTCTTTCTTTCTTTTTTCTCCTACCCTTCGTTCTTTCTTTTTTTCGTTTTTCATCCGTTTTGATTACGATATCTTTCCTTCTCATACCATCACGTTTTGTGTTTCTTGAAATTTGACATTTCTTTCTCTTCTTTATTTCTTCTTTCTTTCTTTGTTCTTTCTTTCTTTCTTTCTTTCTTTCTTTCTTTCTACGCGTCTTCATTCCTTCCTTCTTTTTTATTCAATTTTCCATCCTTTCAAGGAGTCTAGTTTTTTCCTATTTTATTTAGATTTTCATTCCTTCCTTTTTTCCTACTTCCTTCATTCTTCTTGCATCTGCTGTTTTATGTCTCAGTTTTTTGTCTTTTCTTTCTTTCTTTCTTTCTATGCTCTCTTTCATTCTTTATTGTTGTTCTTTCTTTCTTTCTTTCTTTCTTTCTTTCTTTCTTTCTTTCTTTCTTTGCGGACAGTCCGTTTTCCACCTTTGCTCTTAACACTCTCTTAGACCCAATTAGTTCAGATTTTATAGAATTGAAAACGAAAATATTTTCCTCTTCTTTCTTTTTTTTTCGTTTTTCATCCATTTTGATTATTATATCTTTCCTTCTCATACCATCACGTTTTGTGTTACTTGAATTTTGCCCTTTATGTCTCTTCTTTTCTTTCTTTCTTTCTTTCTTTCTTTCTTTCTTTCTGTCTTTCTTTCTTTCTTTCTTTCTACACGTTATCCTTGCTTCTTTCTTTCTTATTCCATTTTCCATCCTTTCTAGGGGTCTAGTTTTGTTCTATTTTATGTTAATTTTCTTTCTTTCTCTTCTTTCTTTCTGTCTCCTTTTTCTTTCTTTCCTTCTTTCTATTCTCTCTTTCTTTCTTTCTTTCTCTTCTCTATCTCTTTCTTTCTTTATTTCTTTCTTTCTTATAGTTCCTTCTTTCTCTCCCTCCTCTTTTTCTTTCTTTCTTTATTTCTTTCTTTCTTTCTTTCTTTCTTTCTTTCTTTCTTTCTTTCTTTCTAGCTTGTCTATATTTCTTTCTTTCTTTCTTTCTTTCTTTCTAGCTTGTCTATATTTCTGTCTTTCTTTTTCTTCTTTATTTCTTTCTGTCTTTCCTTTTTCTTTCCTGTTTTTTATTTAATGATTGGTTTCTTCCTCATCTTTCTTTCTTTTTTCTTTCTTTCTTCCTCGTCTTTCTTTCTTTCTCTTCGCCCTTTCTTTCTGCACTTCTTTATTTCTTTCTCTACTTTCTTTCTTTCTTTCATACGTATTCCTTCTAATCTTTTCATGCGTCTTGCTTTCCTTTTTCCCTTTTTATTTCGTTTATCCTCATTTCTGTTTTCTTTCTTTCTTTTCTCTCTCTCTCTCTTTCTTTCCTTTTCTTCTCTCTTTCTTTTTTTCTTTCTTACTTTTCTCTCCCTCTTTCTTTCTTTCTTTCTTTCTTTCTATATTTCTTTCTGTTCACTGCTTTTTCGACCTTTGTTCATAACACTCTCTTCTGATTATATAGAATTTATTACGAATATATGCAGAAAAATATTCGAAATACTATTTTTATTTCTTAAATTTTTTTCAGTTAGATAAGAAAACATTTCACTCGTTTTTTTATGTTAAGAAAATAAAACATTAAAATATTTTAAATCTTTTTTTATCTTTAACTTTTTTCAATATGCTCTCTCTCTTTCTCTATCTCTTTCTCTTTCTCTCTCTCTCTCTCTCTTTCGCATCATTCTCCAGGATATATATATCAACGAATCGAAACATCACCGTGTATACATCATTACTTATTTTTTGAAATGTTCATTCATGAATTAATGCACTTGATAACCTATATTTTATTTTTCTCGAGATCATGATTTTTGTTTTTAAATGCAAGATGAAAACATCGGATCAGTATAACGAGGAGGTGCTGAAAATTACTTGACAAGTACAACCACACTCTCACGGAGACGAACCTGTCACCTATCGGACCATAGTGCCATCAGCAAAAAAAAAAAAAAACGAAAAAAAACTCACCTAAAGACCATAGCAACATTAGACACCTACTCACAAACAATACCCAGATACGAGTAAAATCAAATAGTAAAAACAGATTTATGATCATTGAAGCAATATTCATACAAAAACAATCGTCAATAAATAAAAACCAGTATAACTTTAGAGCCCACATCCTTAAATGTATATAAAAAAAAAAACACGCGTCACACCTCGCTTACGTCACAACACTCTTTCGCCACGTCACAGCATATAGTATAGTGGGGCGATAAAATTAACAATTGATTTACCTACGTCCAAGTAATTAATTAAGGGTGATAATGACGGGGAAACACGCGTATAATTTTAACAAAACAAGATAAGGGATTTATCTACGAATTTATCAGCTTGAAGCTGTGTCACTTGCTTGTTTTAAGGAAAGTCTTAGTTTTAACGAATTAAAAAACTTAAATTTAAAGAAAAGTTAATTCAACAGATGAAATGGCAAAAAATAATATTCAAAGTGTTTAAAACAAAGGTAAGAAAGTTCGTTGCTCACCGAAGGGACATACGGCTGCATATTCTCAAAAGAGGACCAACAGAGGGAGTTTGAAATACTTAGGTTTTACGGATTGCTGAGGGAAAATTCTTTGAAGTGCCACGTGTTTGGTTAAAGGCCGATAATATAATTGGTGAATCACTAGAAACACTCACGTGTTCTATGAAACTCACTAATTGTCTATGAGTAACGTGATGCTTACTAAAGAAAGTCGAAAGCTTCGATCATATTTCTTTTCTTCCAAAATAAATTCGAGCAATTTTTGACGGAATTTCCTCCTTGTATGAGTAAGATTATTCATAATTTGAAAAAGATGATGTTTAAAATTAATCGACACAAAAGTGTCTAGCGTTTTTAATAGTATTTAAATAATATATATATATATATATATATATATATATATATATATATATATATATATATATATATATAATAAATAACCATATATCAACTACCGTATAGGCGCGTGCTGGCATGCATACGCTGGTAAATAAATAAATAATTACCAAATTTAATCAAGTGGTGTACACATAATAGTGCTCAATGTGATTAGACAGGGCAAAGAAATATATATTAATAAATACACATATATAATAATTTGTGCACGACTTAAGAGTCATTGGTTACCCACCCAGTAATAGCTTAAGCTATATCTTGTGCCCGACGAAACAGTACTGTCTGCGAATGACATAATTTAACTCTTGAAAATATATTTCAATTGAGCACTGTTGAGTGATAAGCTAACTCTATAAACAACAGCCATCTGCGCTAATGCAAAGCTCTTCAGTAAAATGAAAGGAGCACTTCGGCTGATTGGCATTTGCTTACATTCGTAAAACAATACGCTAGATTTAGCTGTGTAACTTTGCCGAGTGAAAGTAGCTACATGGTAGAAGCTCTGACAAATCTGTCACCAAATCGGTTGGGTTTCGATCCTGGCTTGAGGCATTCGGATGTCTAATCTCAATGAGGAGCTGTGATACAACGAAACAGTACTGTCTGTGAATTAGGCATATATATATATATATATATATTGTGTATTTTGGCAGTATTCTGTCTTTCATGCAAGTTTCGATGAAAACACTTGACAAGGTGCTGTGGTTGAGTTTTTCTACAACTTCTCGTTTGTTCGTACAATTCAGGACATAAATTATATAAAAATTTTACGAATGTTTTCCAAACGCTTTGGCTATACTTTTAGCCATTATCAAGGATTAATTTTATTTTACCTTTAACTGAATATATGAATTGTTTTATGAATGTCTCTAGAATTTATTTTCCCCAAAACACTCAGTAATATCAACTATGAACACGGGCAAAATGTGCTGACCGTGTTTGGAAAATAAAACATTTCTATAAATCTAGATACATACATAAAACAATCCATATATTCAGTTGAAAGTAAAATAAAGTGCCTCCCTGAAAATGGCTAAAAATATAGCGGAAAGCACTTGTAAAACATTCATACAATGTCTATATAATTTATGTCCTGTAAAAGGATTATTGTACGAACACATACGAAATTATATAAAAAAACTCAACCACAGCAACTTGTCAGCCGTTTTCAGAGAAACTTGCACACACACACACACACACACACACACACACACACACACACACATATATATATATATATATATATATATATATATATCATAGAGGTGATGGAAGGTTTTTGGTACAGCTAAGAAGAAAATGACGTAGAGCTATGGAGAGTACATATATTCCACATATTCGCTTCAGAGTTCGATCTATTGAACACATACCAAGTAACTCCTTCAAAAGGAATTCTGATGTTGGAACACTGAAATACCACTCTACTGGAATCATATGCGAATCACCTTACTCGATTTAAAACTCATTTTAAAAGTCTGGAAATAGGGAACACATAGCTCAAGTTGCAAGGGGCCAGCGTAAATGACTTACAAACTCAAGACTCTACATTCTTTAAAATAGCCTTTGTTTTAGCAGCTTAGTTAACAGGTGTCGCCATCATACGTTCACGTCCACGTCTACGGAGTCGAATCACCCAAAGTTTGACTGTATTTCATTTGTAAAGAGGAAGTTTCACTAAGATTTGTTTCTCCTCGAGAAAAGCGCTAATTTTTGGAACAAACTCGCTCTTGTTGTTCTCCCCTGAAAACTGCAACCTTAACCGCTTCAAGTTAAGAGTCAACCGCTACCCAGCCTCTTTACACTCATATTCTTACGTTTATATATCACACACCACATTCAGTAACCATCTGCAATGGGTGGCTCTTGATTTTTCTATTGGGTGATGATTAGTATTAAAAAGTAGTACATTCTCATGTACAAGGAGAACACCTTCCTGCGGATTACAATGACCTTTTTTCGAACACCTTTAACCAACGCAATAATTTAACTTTATATGCGGCATGATATGCTTGTCCCTTCTAAAGATAGTGAATAGTCAAAATACCTGTCTTCTTTTAAAAAAATATCATCATCATCAGTCCCAATATCGGGCGTGTTCGTAGAGTTGATGTGCAGCTGAGCAACTCACCTGTTTCATTCACAACATATCTGGTTTGAAAGCTGGAGAGATATCCATTTATACATAACGTGTTTTTGTCAAATAGATCTGGACGGGTCATCCCTCTCTAGGTCAAGCCACAGCTGATGTTCTCCAGTTCGAATACAAGTCTTGTTGACGAACCCATGACCGTTAATTCCATCGGCTGGGGGATCCTCTAATCTAGATATTCTTCTAATAGTCTCTTCTCACTCACTCCTCGCCCACGGAACTCTCTTCTGGCTTCTTGATTTCCTGTCAACTACGATCTTAAAAACTGTTGTCTCCTCGAGCCCTGTTCTTTTATTGTCTTTTCTCTTCATTAACGTTTTTTAATATCCCTTCACTCCCAGTGACCCCCTAGACTCTTAGTAGCTTAATCGCCTTTCTTGGGGTAAAATGATTAAAAAAAAAGATAGATAGATATGAACAGGTGCAGACAGATAGATAACTTGTTAAGTCTAAGTGCATTCCAAGGCCAAGAACATGCTATGTAATTAGCCCTGATCTGGCATCTCGTCTACAGTTGCTCTCTCACAGACGTGCCGTCGCCTCCCTCTGTCTTTTTTACAAATACTTTCACGGTAACTGCTCCGATGAGCTGCTTTCGCTAGTTCCCAGACTTCATGGATTTAAGCGTTCAATTAGGCTGGCATCTCGCTCTCATCCACATGAATATGGCTGTAAGTCTTCTTTAAAAATCCAGATTTTGCTGTTAATTTCAAGGAGGTTCGCATATTCATGAACGTGAATGATTTTTACACTTCATTCTCTGAACGTTAAATGCTGTGGATAAAAATATAGAACAAAAATTTTCTTTTTTGTCCCCTGAGATCTTGTCCGTTTGTTTAGGGGCAGGCTTAAAGCCCGCCCAGGGGTCTTTGTAGAAATGCGATAACTAGACACCCAGAAAGCAATTTCTGATGCTTGTGCAACCAAAGGAAACTTTTTCTGTTCCCTTGGTAGACAACCACATAAGGCAAAATACTTAAACAATAAATGCTGAACACATGACGATCTATCTATCTATCTATCTATCTATCTATCTATCTATCTATATATATATATATATATATATATATATATGTGTGTGTGTGTGTGTGTGTGTGTGTGTGTGTGTGTGTGTGTGTGTGTGTGTGTGTCAATATTTCTGAGATGAGGTATTGTGTACACTATTTACATTATTCGGACTATTGTCCTCATCTTTGTCGCCATATTTATTACAACGTTTCGGCCGTTGCACGCCCCGGACTTCTTCAGGTGGTAAGGATGTAGAAATAAAGGGTTCGACATTCCAAACACCTGAAGAAGCCTTCAACGGCCAAAACGTTGTAATAAATATGGCGACAAAGATGAGGATAATAGTCCAAATAATGTAAATAATATATATGTA